ATTTAACAGGCCAAATATCATAGGGGTCAGGAGACAAGATTACAGTAGAGTGAAGGATTTAAAAAAAAAAAAAGGAATTGAGGGAGCACATCAGGAGGGAGATACCCAGGGTGGGAGAGACCATAGGGGACGCCAGACAGGACCGGGTGCCATCTCCTTGGATTGCATGGCGCCTGGGTGCATATGTAAACCGGCCTTAAATATTCGTGAAGGAAAGGAGTGATGAAAGAGTCTTGACATTGGGAGATATGGCCAGAAACACATTGTTAAGGCTTAAAACCCATTTGGGGGGGGGGTGTGAGTACAGGCAGACACCTTATATAATAAATTTTACATCCTAGAAAAGGAGTTTTAATGAATGTCAAAGACCTTGGAAATGGGAACTGGAATTGGAGAGAAAGGGAAATGAGTTATAACATTATTAAAGTATTGAGATCGATCTGCATTTCTCCTGCCAGCCCCTGAGGCCAAGTCTGTCTCCAGCTCCTGCCCCCACTCTGCCGCCTGGCACAGAAGAGCGCCCCATGCACACTGGAGTGAATGAAGAGGTAGATGAAGGGCAGGAAGAGAAGGATTCTAGAGAGGCTTAAAGAGAGAGTCCACTTGTGCCATTGTGTGCGGAGCCTTGAGAGAAGTCTTCGGTATCAAAAGGCATGCTGACCCACGGGATAGATCTGAGAGCGGTTATAGGCGTGGGCATATTTTCTTTCAGCATTTCAAAAACATTCTTCCATTTCCTTCCAATGTCTATCGTTTCTGGTAGGAAATCCTCAGACATACACATTGTAGTTTCCCTTTCCTTTTCCTCTGGCAGCTTTCAGGATTCTTTTTCTTTAGTTTTCAGACAGTGGGTAGTGAGAGTCTTGGGTGTGGGTTTCTCCCGCTGAAGCTTTGCTGAGCTTCTTCCATCCGCGTTTATGCGCGTTGCCCTTTCCAGGACGGTGTCCAATTCGGGGCCACGTTGCAATTGGAAAAATACAACTTAGACTTCACCCTTGTGGGATCACAGCTCCTCATGAGAAACACAGAATGAATTAGAAACGGACAGATCTCTCTGTACCGGACTTGGGGTCCTCATCGGCCCCGTGTTGTCCACGTCCACAGGTCAAAATCAGAAGAAATGGCCAAATGGCTGCTGCGTTCAAAGCACACCACATTTTGTCTTTTCCTCAAAGGGTCAGGAGGTTTGACAGAGAATGGAGGTCGGTTTGGTAAAAGTTAGGGGAGGTGGTATCTGTCCCGCTACCTCTCGCATGCTAAGCGAGGGCCCTACGACCTGAGGCCACCCCCCACCTGCTGTCTCCCAGGCCCAATAATTTCTCTTTTATGAGCAGGTCTCCATTACCCACATTTCTGGTGACTCAGGACATAAAGTCAGGACCGGGACTAGGGGCGCGCGCTCTCCAGACGACGGGCGAGGGCGCGGCGGTCACTCCGCCACCGCCGGGGAGGACGGAATCTCCAGGGAAGCGCTGATGCCGCCAGACCCCGCGCCACTGGGTCCGATGGTCCCGGCACCGAGGGCAGGTCTCGTCGCCCGCGAGCCGCGTGTCTTCACTCGCGGCGCTGGAAGCCTGGCCGGGACCCCGGCGCGCTCTGCGCTCCCTAAACCTTCCTCCTGCGTCGATCCTGGCAGCTCCGGTTCGGTTCCGCGCGGACGTGGGCCGCTGGATGCGGAGAACGTGGAGCAGGGTTCGCCGAGGGCCTGGATCATTCTCTACGGGCAAGGAGGCGGGCGCTCTCAGACAGAGACTTTTTCAGGCAAAACGGGCCGGCCGCAGACACGGAGCGTGGACACAGGGCGGGCGGGAGGCGGTCACCCAGGACTTTGGATGCGTGGACGAGGCAGCGGGACGGTGAGGGCATGGGGCGGGCGGGGTGTGCGGGGCGGGCGATGGGGGAAAAGGAGACACTTGTAATACTGTCAACAATCAGAACTTATTTTTTTCAAAATGGGCTGGTAGAGAAGATGGATTTCTCTCTCTTCTCTAGCCTCCTTTCTTCAAAACGTGTAAGTTCCTCTGCAGGGATGGGAGGCGTTAGGCAATAGCTCCACAACAATCACGACAACACGCAGCTCACGGGCTTGCACAGGGGATTGATGGTCCATCTGACATGTCCAGGTTGTGGGAGGCTGAGGTCTGGTTGTCTCAGGGCCTGGCTGGGGCCCAGGATCAGGCTCTAGCAGACCCTCTGCAGGCTGTCATTCTCCGCCTCCATCTCAATGGGCTGACAGGGGAGCAGTTAGGCATCAATTAGTCCAGCTGGTCCCCAGAAGAATCTCACGCTCTCACAGCCTTGAGACAAAGTCCAGAAGAAAAACACCTCCATCTTGTCTCTTGTTGAGGGGAACTTCTCCTCCATGCTCCTCTCCCACAGTGAGGTGTCCCCTCACATACTCGCTCCTAACCCATTCCTGTCATTCCTGGGACCACTGTGGTGAATGAGGTCAATCAACCCAGCCTGCGGCCTGTGTAACCCAGTGGTTCAGCCTGGACCTATGAACCAGGAGGTCACAGTTCAACTCCCCATCAGGGCACACGCTCGGGCAGTGGGCTCAATCCCCCATAGGGGATGTGAAGGAGGCAGCCGAGCCATGATTATTTCTCATCATTGATGTTTCTAGCTCTCCCTTTCCCTCCCTCTCTGAAAGCAATAAAAATACCTTTTTAAAAACAAGGTCAAGATGCACTGGGTTGGCTCAGTGGATAGAGCGTCGGCCTGCGGACTGAAAAGTCCCGGGTTCGATTCCAGTCAAGGGCACATACATTGGTTGCCGGTACATCCCCAGTAGGGGGTGTGCAGGAGGCAGTTGGTCGATGTTTCTCTCATCGACATTTCTAACTATATCTATCCCTCTCTGTGAAAAATCAATAAAATATATATATATATATATATATATATATATATATATATATATATATTTAAAAACAAAACAAAAAAACAATAATCCTCATTCTGCCTCTAGAGCTGAGAGGGAGGCCCACCTCCTTCAAAGCCAAAGCAGGGTACAGAGGGTCTGTGAACAGAATCATGTTCCTGTTGGGAAGGAGGAATGTGGGTGTGGAGGTGATAGAGGCAAGCTATATTAGCTGCTATACCCGGCTCCACCCCTATATCCTTTATAATAGAGGTGATATGCTAGTTAACCATCACTCCAGCCCACATGTGGACACAAGATGGCAACCACAAGATGGCAGGCAAGGGAGGGCAGTCGTGGGTGGAACCAGGCCTGCAAGGGAGGGATGTTGAGGGGAAACCGGGCCTGAAGAGGAGGGCAGTTGAGGGCGACCAGGCCAGCAGGGGAGGGCAGTTAGAAGCAACCAGGCCAGCAGGGGAGGACAAGGGCAGTTAGGGGCAATTGGGCTGACAGGGGAGCAGTTAGGCATCAATTAGCCTGGTGGGGCAGTGGTTAGAGTGAACAGGCTGGCTGGCAGAAGTGATTAGGGGCAATCAGGCAGGCATGCAGGCAAGTGGTTGGGAGCCAGCAGTCCTGGTTTGTGAGAGGGATGTCTGACTGCCTGTTTAGGCCTGATCCCATAGGACAGTAGGACATCCCTTGAGGGGTCCCAGATTGGCAAGGGTGCGGGCTGGGCTGAGGGACAACTCCCCTCCTCCCCAACCCCCGCATGCTTGAATTTCATGCACTGGGCCTCTAGTTAAAAATAAGAGGAAATAAGAGTTTCTGAAAGCTGAGGGCTCTGTTCCTTACATTAACCAGCATTAGACCATAGACAGAGTTCCAGATCTGTCATAGAACTGATTTGACCTACAGCATGTATTCAGTGCTTGTACTCAGGATGCGGCATTACATGTACATGCTTACACATTAACCTATAAATCAGAATCATACAAGTTGGCTATTAGTAATGCCACACGTCACAGGCCCTTATGACTCCATGGCAAAATGACACTCCTGGATTTCAACCTGGATTCAGGGGCTAATGTGGCATCATGGGGCAGAGACTGAAGCTCTGCCCAAAACTGCCACCTCCATCTGCCTCCCCAGAGAGGACAGGAGTGGTTTTATTTGTTCTGGAAATTGGTAATTTATGCAGCCTCAATTTGTCTATCAAATATATTCCGTAACTCTCATTCGCTCTCAGGCTTACTTTTGCAATCTCTTGAATAACCATTGATTTTTGTTTCATCCTCACAATCTGTTCACCTCCAGCATAACCCTACTTAACACTGTCTGCCTTAACTTTTGCTCTTGATTCTTGTCATTGTTCACATAGAAATTTGATCTGGAAAGAAAGAGCAGGCTTAGAGAGACCCATACAAAGTCTTGACTCACCAGATATGTGAATTTGGATGAATCACTTCTGAGTCAGCCTGTTACCTTATCTGCAAAACGGGGATGATACTCACTTGGCAGATTTGTTGTGAGATTACAGGACACAGTGCTGGGCACGTCCTGTCGGTAAAGCGTGGCCACTATTGACAGATTTAACCACCAAAGAACTGATTTGGCCTATAGCTTTTATTCAGTACTTTGCAATCTTCTAAAGCGCCACCTTAGTAACTCAAAGGGTATTTATCTATTCACCCAGCAAAATGTGAAACCATGAGGATGAAAAGGTAAAGCTCACTCCTCATTCCTCAGGGAACTAACATCTAGTCAGAGAGACAAATCTAAGCTCATAGCTACACTGAACAGGAACAAAGGAAATGTGCTGGGGACGTTGGGGGCGCTCTCGAGATGTTGCCCTTGAGCTTCACCTTGCCTCGGAGAACAAGCTGACCTGTGGAGAAGGAAAGGCAGTTGCTGGCAGATTTTAGGAAAAGCAGTTCCAGAATGTTGAATAGCATGAACTGGCGTGAGGGGACTGGGGGGCAGAACGGGCTGGAGGGGTTCACCTGGAGCCTCGGATATACTGGCAATGTTATTTTTCTCTAGATAAGGTGGTTCTTTTCTGATCCTTCCAGCTGTACTTTCTTCGCATGTATGGCACGAATCACAATAAAAATATTAAAACATTTTGAAAGATAGGTTGGCATCAACGTATAAAAATCTTTATTTATCAAGATAAGGAATTTATCCTGAAGAATAAGGCACAGTTGTTTTTAAGGAGAACATTCTCAGCTCTGTGCTCTAAGAAGAGGGGTTGGTCACATGGTGGAGACAGACTGCAGTGGGGAGGCCACTCAGAGCTCCTGGCCTGGCAGGAGTGGCCCAGGCCCAATGTGTTCAGAACTCAGACAGGAGCAGAGGTCTGGCTGAGGGGGAGGGACAGGCTTTGAAAGTGATGAGCAAGGGAACTTAGGAGACTGTTTGCAATTAGGGGTCAGGAAATTCACCAAATAGTTTTAAAGAGTAGTGTTCTGGAGGAAAGAGCTCCAGGTTCCACCGTGTCTTGTGTAACCCTGATCCTGCCAGGACTTCCATTGTGTCAATGGACTATCCCTGCGTCTGTCCAGTAAGTTCACTCTCTTGTTGTCATTTAAGTGAGTTTGGATGAGGTTTTGTTGCCTTCAACAGAGCCCTGAGTTATTTGACAGATCACTCTCACAGAATTACCATAGAGCAGAGAATTTTATCAAAACTCAAGCCACACAGGTGGAGAAGGAGCTTCGTTGCTGTTAGAACAGGCCTTGCAGGACACAGGGAACACTAAGGCGAGGGGGTGGGCCTTGGCCAGTTCAAGGTGAGAGGAGGTTTTCATTCCAAGTCTCCGAGACCCAAAGCAGACTCCTCACTCCCCACCCCAGAACATGTCTTCCCTCTTGTGAAAACCCAAGTCCCTGGAATCCTACTCCTCATCGGAACGATGGTCAGGAGAGGGACAACTCTTTCGTCTCCCACAGCAATTAAACAAGAGCATGGAGCTGGGAAGTCTTGAAGTGCAGGCTCGACAGGCAGTTCCCACGGTTGCCACGGAGGGTTGGGTAGCTGTCTGCACTCAGTTTATTCTCAGAGTCAGTTACAGGGCAGTGACTGGCCATGGGTGTTTGCATTGGTTCCACTTGAATAGGCCGCTGCAGGACACACCAAAACCAACAGTGGTGGGCGCTGACGAAACAGAGAATTCCTGAGAAAAAAAAATGATGTTGAAAATGACAACATTCGATGTTTTTAAAAAAGTTCTGTTTTTAAACAGATTTAACAAATGGATGGAGTTTAAGGACCTATCATCCCATTTCTCTACCCCACCTACCCCTTGCCCTCCTACCATCTATCCTATAAATTCTCATATCCTAGCCATGATTCTTACTGAATGTACAGGAGAAATGGATGCTATTTTCTATAAAGGCAAAATTCTAACAGAGTAGGAGCAGCTACAACAAGCAAACGAAACATCACTGCACTAAATCTACACCCAGAAACTAACAGTACTCAGGGGGGAGAGTTGGAGCCCGTGGGTGTGACTGTTCTGAATTTAGGATGTAGCCCAAGCAATCACAAAGCCCCAGAACACTCACCAGACAGGAAAAACAGCATGATGCTGACTGAGAGGATGAAATAGGGGTAGAGAAGGGTGACTTTCGCTTCCTTGAATATGTCAGTTACTCTCCAAATATACAGAGTGTGCAGCAGCAACGCAAGGAACACACAGACACCTGCTTCTCAGGAAAGGGTGAGAGAGCAGCCCGGTGCATTAGTGTATGACCTTCAGGTGAATCCCAAGACCCAAAGCTGCCCTCTCAGCTCCTCGCGGGACTCTCTGTGACCTTAGCAGAGCTTGGAGCTGTGCCCCTGGAACGTGACCCCAGCCCAGCACAAGGACACTGAGGGAACACACTTCCTTCCATCTCTCACCTATGACGAAGCAGGTGATGGTGAAGACAAAGTACTGTTTCCAGGTGTCAGGAAGGGACTGAGGGAAGGCCATCAGTGTGATGTTCAGGAAGAAGGAGAGAAGAAGGGCGCTGATCATGAAAATTCGACCAAATATGAAGCTGTCTGAATTAGGGAGGGAGAAGGGAGAAAGGCCAGCAGCTCCCTCTAGGGTCCCCTCCTTCTTGGGTCTGAATCCCCACAATACGAAGGAAGCAGTGCAGGGACTTCGAGGAAGGAACCGATGGCAGCAGGTGGGAAGCTTAGGGCTTGAGGGAAAGTGAACTGCTGGAAGGTCCAGGACAGCAATTCTGGCCACGCTGGTCACCTCAGAGGCCTGACCCCTGGGCCCCTCTGGAAATGAGCCATGTTACTGAGAGGAGAATAACTCCTCCTCCCATGTGACCTGGGCAGAAAAAGAGGCGGGAACTTCCTGGAAGGGACAGGCTGATGCAGGGCCCTCCCTTCAATGCCGGCACTTACATGACCTGGGTGGAGGAACCCAGCACTTGACCTCTTGGCTGCAGGTGGCAAACAGGGCACTGAACAGGACCTGGCGGCCATTAGCAATGTCCACCTTCGCCCAGGTGGACAGGCTGAAGGCCCACCACAGAAGGGCCATCGCCGTGACCGTGCAGATGAGGACCAGAATGCGGTATGGCTTAGTTATCCCACATTTCATACAGAAGGGTGCAGGCTAGGAAAAAAAAAGAAGGGGGACATTATATGAGTTCGTTTCCCTTTGGGATTTCTCCCCAGACAAGTCCAACCCTCTGGTCCTTTCTCATTCTCAGCTCCCAGGCTCCCCTCTTCCTCGTCCCCTAACCAGATCCTCTCCAGGCCGCTGGCTGACCTGGGTCCCGCACCAGCGGGATGGAAAGCTCCTTATGTTGATCTCTGCATCTCGTCTGACACACCCCTACACACATTCCTCCACAGCCTGCCCTGCTGCTGTGCTTCCCCACAGGCCCTGTCCCACCACCTAGACTTGATGTCCGACTCCGTCATCTCCCACATTTGGCACAGTCCTTACATATAGGAGGAGCACCGTAAGTATTTCTTAACAGAAAAGGGGGTGGGGGAACCACAGCACATTCCAACTACATCCTCCAAGTGATGTCAAGCGAGGTAAAAGTTTTGGATGCCTCCTCCTCGTCATTCCCCTCAAATCACAGCCATGCTTTTCTCCTGCTGGTCCTGACTCCAGCGAGTCTTTTGTCTTAGTTCTGTTTTGGCCCTCTCGGGTTCAGCTTCCATCCTCTGATGCCCTGTGTTCTATAGCAGCACCTTTTTACAGAGAGGCCCATCCTGGCCTTCTCAACAGTAAAATGCTGTGGTCCCTTCCTGTTCCAACGTTTAGTGACATCATAAGTATGTGACCTGCCTCCTTAAAAAATGTGAGCTCCTACCCCGTGGTCCCCGTTTTTTAAAGAATGAGTCATGTCCCATGCCCCTCTGCCTAGCAATGCCTTTGTGTTGCTCGGCACATGTGCACTTCACAAGTTATAGCTTATATGCTTAGCTCTAGCTTCTAATACCAAATGGGCGCATTTCCCCTATTCCTGTACGAGACTGAAGGGCACATGAGAGAGAATTCAGGCAAATTGGGAAATAACTGGGAAGGTGTAAGTAGAAACAGGTTTTATGTGAAGGGCACAGTGGGTCATATTACGTCCTTCACTAGGTGTCAGGACATGTGATGCCTTTTGACCCAGCCTTATTGGGCTGACCAAGGGTGAACACTTGGCATATTTGTTGATGAAAGAATTAATGAATGCATAAAAATAGAGACCAAGAAGTAGAGGGTTGCTGAGAACCTCTGTTTAGGAGCTTCTTAAATGTAGGCTGTGGGGAGGCCAGGATTAACTTTGTCTATTCTATTCACGTGTGAATTCTAAGCACCTGCAACTTTATTGGCACGAGGCAGGTGTTGCATAAATATTTGTGGAATGAATGAATGAATGGATGGATGGATGATCCAGAACAGTTAGGTTCCCTCCACTGGGTATATATTTTGCCCTCGCATTTCCAGGATTGACTAGGACTTTGGAGTGTGCATCAGCAGTGCATTGCCAGCCGAGCACTATAGGCTTACGTGTGATCAGTTGTGCTACTGAATGAGGACTGCATGGCAATGGCATTGGCTGGGGAGACAAGGAATAATCACGGCAGGAAATAAGAAATAACAAGGTAGAGAGTACTTTTGACAATCATGTGCACACAGAAACCTAGCCAGAGACTCAGGGAGAGTCAATATTTCAAGGCAATATGTTTAAATCTCTAGGTTGGTGGGAACCCTTATTTTCTCCTGAATTTTGAACTGACCCAGAAAAACAAAGCAAATGGACAAACTGGTTTCTGCTGATGTTAAAAAAGGAACAGATCAAAACTATAAACATACTTAAAAGCAAACTCTCGACTGTCAACATTGGTCCTCTACTCTTATTTACAACTTCTCAATGCACACATTATAAACATAATTACTTATTCCATGTCAACTTTTTTTTAAAATATATTTCATTGATTTTTTTTACAGAGAGGAAGGAAGAGAGAGAGCTAGAAACATCGACTGGCTGCCTCTTGCACACCTCCTACCGAGGATGTGCCCGCAACCAATGTACATACCCTTGACCGGAATCGAACCTGGGACCTTTCAGTCTGCAGACCGACGCTCTACCACTGAACCAAACCGGCTTTGGCTACTTACTCCATGTCAACTTTATGTTGCCCCTTAAAATGATACAACTGGTTTTTGTTTTATTTTGTTTTGTTTAAAATGGCTTGGAAAAGGAGTCAAGGAGAAATTGGAGGCAGGAAACTATTTAAATGCTAGTTTTGCCAATTACTTTTTGGCCAAGTAATTTCTTATAGTAAGAAATTACTGCTGCAGAAAGTGAGAGAGAGAGAGTGAGAGAGAGAGAGAGAGAGAGAGAGAGAGAGAGAGAGAGAGAGAGAGAGAGAAATTACTGTTTCATTTGCGGAATGTGGTAGTGGTGTTGCACTTATATAAATACTAGAGGCCCGGTGCATGAACATTCATGCACTGGAGGGGGGTCCCTCAGCCTGGCCTGCCCCCTTTCACCGTCCTCAGGGGCAGGAGGTGACCTGGTGATCAGGGGAAGGTTACACCCCCATCAGACCTCTGCTGCTGCCACTGCCAGCAACAGAAGCCTCAGCTGGCCCTGGTTGCCTGAGCTTCAGGCAGCCCTGAGTGGCTGGGCAGCCGCCATCCGAGACTTGCCTGCACCTTGGGTGTCGACTGGACAGCTGACATCCAAGGCTTGCCTGCATCTAGGACCAGCCCTGGGTGGCAGGGAGGCTGAGGGGACTGGGCACCGCCAACTTGTGGCTGTGGGCGCTTGCTATCTTTGAGGGTGTGACAATCAATTAGCATATTCCCTCCTTATTTACTATGGGCGCCACCATCTTTGTGAAGGTGTGATGATCAATTAGCATATTCCCTCTTTATTAGTTAGGATTATATAATATAAAGTTCTTATCTCTACGACATACAAACTGAAGAATTTAGGATGATATGCTAGCTCTAGTTTTAACTTTATTTTTTTGTTTTGTCTTTTTCTAGGTTTACCTTTAAATTATTCACTTTCCCAACCCATAAAAAACATAGTGAATAGAGGAAACAAGACTGACAAAATGTTGATGATTCTAAGATTATTACAGGGGAGTTCATGATATAATTATGTCAATGCCCATATGTTTGAAAATTTTCAAAATATGTCGTTTAAAATATGTAATAAAACTTGACATTTCAGATCCTAAAGGGCTAGAAACAAACTTCTTTCTTTTGCAAACACACTACTCACATAATTGAAAATGCTGCCTGCTCTCTAACAGATATAGGATTACAAAAACATTTAAGTAGTAAGACTGGTAAATTGAAATTACTCCCCCACGCCCTTGAAATTACTTCTTGTTACAAAAGCTGCAGGATGGATGCTGTTATCAGGAGTGACATCAACATCAGAACGTAACATCTACAAAGCACAATAAAGTACAGCACAAGATGAGATAGCTTGTTGCCTTTTATACACGGAAGGTTTGTGCAATCCAGCCCGGAGCCCGTCCATTGGCATTATTGTTCCAACAGCACTTGCTCCCTTCATGTCAGTGTCACAGGTGAGTCATTCCTGCAACATTTCATCGTTACGATCTGTGACCAGCTACTTCGTGCTACTCTTGTCCAGCACCATGATGAGGCTAAGGTTTGCCACAGGTGCCCCTAAGACACTGTCCTTGCATAAGCTGTTCACAGGGATGCCTACACACTCTGGGGCACCAGCTGAAGGTGAACAGCGTTAACTGTCTGAACTGGCCAAGGCCAAGGCCTGAGCTAGCTCCCGGAGCCAGGGCAGGCTTAGGGAACTGGTGACAGAGCAGCTTTATCTTAGTGTCCGGCAGAGCTACTCTGCTCCAGCCGTGAGTGTCCCTGCTTGGTAATTTCTTGGCTGAAATGGTCAAGCCACGGTAAAATGTAACCATCATCTAAAACAAAAAAAGGAAGCACTGACTTCTAACCGATTAAATCAGGGTCCTCGGCTGGTTCCAGCCATGTCTTTTCAAACACTGGCTGTGCTAACGTGCAGGTAGGGACGAGAAACGCCGGACTAAAGGTCTCTGGGGGGACTACTTGCGGGATTCTTGTGTCTCGAACCCGACCGCCGGGGCGGCGGGAGGCCTTCACGAAGGAGGTTTAAATGAAAAATGAAGGGAGTAGGGAGGGGAGAGGCCCGCCCAGGCCGGCGGTTAGTCAGGGCCGCAACGACCCGCAGCAGGGACGCCTGGCCCGGACCGCCTGACCCGGTTGCTGACCCCTCACCTGAGCCCCAACAGCAGACAAGACCTTGGCCCTTCTCCCGGGTCCGCGGGGAATTCGGCGCCTCCCGCCGTTGGGGAGCGGCTTGGGGAGGCCCAGTCCCTTCTAACCCTGGTTCCTCCCCGACCCGGGATCATAGGTCGCAACCAGAACCCCTGGAAGCAGAGGGCATCTCAACTTCCGGAGGGGAAAATAACGAAAGGGCGCGAGCCCGTTGACAACTTCCGGTTTCCCCGGGCGCTAGGAGACCCAGACATCAGGGTTCCGGGACTCGCGCAGCCCCGGGAGGCTGGCCCGCTCCGGAGCCTTCCGGTCGCCTTGGGAGTGTCCTCTCCTCGTTCAGGGAGCAGTGCGGCTCCGTGCCGGCAGGGGGCGAGGCCGGGGGGGCGGGGGCCGCGGCTGGACCCTGTCCTCAGGCTCCAGGGGCCACGGCTGCCCGAGCCAATGCCGACTGAGTAGCTAGTGGCCGGAAGTGGGGGCGGGCGCGCCAGTGGCGCAATCAGTCCGCGCGCGGTATTCACAGGGTAGTGCCTCCGCGGGAGATGCTGCGATTGAGAGTTCGAGCTTTACCCTGCCACAGGGCTTGAACTTTTATTTTTTGAAATATTAATTACCGACTCAGTCTTAAAAATGTACTATATGTCTGTCCAGATTTTCTATTTTCTTCTTGTGTTCATTGCCATAATTTACATCCTCTGGGAAATTTTAAAATATATTTGTTATTATTGATAGTATCACAAATATCTCCCACACACACCCCTTTCCTCCACTCCTCCCAGCCCCTAGCTCTGGGAAATTTTTCATTTCATCGAAGTTGTCTAATTTATTAGCATGACGTCCATACAATTTGTCCCTTTATGATGTTTTCAAAAATTTTTTTTTTTTTGAGATCAGTAGTGATGCTCTGTTTCCTTCCTGATTTCTCATCTTCTCTTTCTTTTTTCCGTTTGAGTCTAACTGAAACTTTGTTCATCTTGCTGGCTTTTCAGAAGACCCATCTCTTCATTTCATTGGCTTCCATTGTTTTTTCTGTTTTCCATTTCATTGATTGCACTCTAATTCTTTCCTTTCTTGTACTGGCTTTGGGTTTAGTTTGCTTATCTTTTTTTAGTTCTTAAGATAGAAGCTTAGATTACTCAGATGCGTTCTTTCTTCTCTAATCCAGGTATTTAAAGATATAAATACTGTGTAAATACTGCTTTAATGAAAGGCCACAATTTTGATGTATTATGGGTTCTTTTATTCAGTCCAAAATGCTTTTTTTTTACATTACCTTTCTGATTTCTTTTATATTCATGGATTGTTGATTCAATTTCCTTCTGTTGTTGATTTTAATTTAATTTTATTATCATCAGAGAACATTCCTGAACTCGGGGAAGGAACTAAAGCCTCGCACGTGTGTTTCCACTGCGTCCCAGCGGATTTGCTTCCCCCTCGGGTTCTTGTTTGTTATGGAAGAGAATAAAGCTGTCCCCAAGTTCCCACCTCCCCAACATCTCCGGGCCCAACCCAGAGCCTCTCCATCCCAGAGCCGCTCCATCTGGGAGTGACGTGCTCCAGGGAGTTGGCCTGTGGAGACGAGGTGGCCGAGTGGTTAAGGCGATGGACTGCTAATCCATTGTGCTCTGCACGCGTGGGTTCGAATCCCACCCTCGTCGACTGTGTGGTTTTTAGTGTGTAAATTTCCTAAAAAGTACTTTAAAAAGTCTCTTGGATATATTTGCAATACTAATTCTCAATCACTATGGTTCAGGGGATTTGCCTGGGTGAGCCCGGCTGCCCTGCTGTGCGTCTTTGGGGACCCCCTATGCTAAAGTAGGTCCCTTTATATTTATTCACAAACTACACCACACATTTAGGGCAGTCTTTACTCTTGAAGACATATCTGCACTTTTCTTACATTTGCCTCCATTATTCTAAATACTAAAACCTATCAGGCAAAGAAATGATGTCAATGAACCACACCACATAACCAAAAGTGGTTAAATCCTGTGTCTCTTCTCAACAAGAGTCCCAAGTTCTCTCGGCTTTGGAATTCACCAGGGTCCTTACAATGGTGTTTCTCGGTTGCCAGGTTTTGTTTCTTTTCTTTTTTTTAATATATTTTATTGATTTTTTACAGAGAGGAAGAGAGAGGGATAGAGTTAGAAACATCGATGAGAGAATCATCGACCAGCTGCCTCTTGCACACCCCCTACTGGGGATGTGCCCGCAACCAAGGCACATGCCCTTGACCGGAATCAATCCTGAGACCCCTGAGGCCGCAGGCCAAAGCTCTATCCACTGACCCAAACCGGTTTTGGCAGGTTTTGTTTCCTAACGTTAGATGAACGTACCCCTAATCAGTAGGTAAGTGTCTCACCTCTGAATACCTTCAGAGTATTTTGTGCCTGATGCCCCCCCACCCCCGATATTTGAAGCATGTGCTTACAGCTCTAACATGACAACTGAGTGGCTCTGAAAAGAGCCTTTGGGGTTAGGAGCCGGGCCTCGGCGCCTCACTTGGAGCTGGTGTACTTGGTGACGGCCTTGGTGCCCTCGGACACGGCGTGCTTGGCCAGCTCGCCGGGCAGCAGCAGGCGCACGGCCGTCTGGATCTCGCGGGACGTGATGGTGGAGCGCTTGTTGTAGTGCGCCAGGCGCGACGCCTCGCCCGCGATGCGCTCGAAGATGTCGTTGACGAACGAGTTCATGATGCCCATGGCCTTGGAAGAGATGCCGGTGTCGGGGTGCACCTGCTTGAGCACCTTGTACACGTACACCGAGTAGCTCTCCTTGCGGCTGCGCTTGCGCTTCTTGCCGTCCTTCTTCTGCGCCTTGGTCACCGCCTTCTTGGAGCCCTTCTTCGGGGCGGGAGCGGACTTGGCGGGCTCGGGCATGGTCGGGAAGAGCCGCCGAAGAAGCTGGTGAGCCACTCGGAGGATAAGAGTGAGTGAGGCTGCGAATGTCCTCTTTCCCGGCTCCTTAAAGGAGGCGGGAGTGAAGGCGTGTCCGACCGGTGCGAGTCCCGGCACGTCACAGGGTGTCGTCCACTCAGAACCAGGGCATTTCAGACTCGGGACCCCATTGGCTCGGGGAAAGGCTGTGACCCGCCGCCAATGGCACAGACTCACTTTCGCGCCCCAGCGCGACTATAAAGGGGGCGGCTCCAGGAACTTCAAGGCAGATCCAGATCTGAGCTGACATTTTCTCTTTGCCAACACCATGTCTGGACGCGGGAAGCAGGGCGGCAAGGCGCGCGCCAAGGCCAAGACGCGGTCCTCCCGGGCCGGCCTGCAGTTTCCTGTTGGCAGAGTCCACCGCCTGCTCCGCAAGGGCAACTACTCGGAGCGGGTCGGGGCCGGCGCGCCCGTGTACCTGGCGGCCGTGCTGGAGTACCTGACGGCCGAGATCCTGGAGCTGGCGGGCAACGCGGCCCGCGACAACAAGAAGACGCGCATCATCCCGCGCCACCTGCAGCTGGCCATCCGCAACGACGAGGAGCTCAACAAGCTGCTGGGCAAGGTGACCATCGCGCAGGGCGGCGTGCTGCCCAACATCCAGGCCGTGCTGCTGCCCAAGAAGACCGAGAGCCACCACAAGGCCAAGGGCAAGTAAACCAAGTGCCCACAACCTACTGCCTTCTGTTCTACCCAAAGGCTCTTTTCAGAGCCACCCACGCTGTCACTGAAGAGCTTGCAATTTCACTAACAGCGACGTGGAAAGGATCCCAACTACCACCCGGAGGTGTCTCTGTAAACGGCCCGTAAATGGGAGAGGATCTCTCGTGAACACAAGGTTAGGACAGTAGTTACTGCGGGGGACGCTCTGCACCCGGTAATTAACAGGTGAAAGCTGCAGGCCCTCGGGCTTAAACCAGTAGAAGCCAGAATTGGAACACGCCGGGCTCAAGGTGACTATTGAAATGCAGATTGAGTTAGTAACCACTGGCCCATAGAACCACTGCTGTCTCTTGTTCCATTTGTTTTGCATCTTAATGGGACACATCTTCACCAACGCCCACCTCCTAGGGGGAGCTTGCAATTGCCATCTTGTATTAATAGCAGGTACCTGAGAATGCCCTTTGCTGATAAAGTCATTAGAGTTTGCAGTAGGTAAACACCCCAGAAGGAAACACTTAAGCATCATTGAAAACAATGTGGCCATCAGCTGAGTAGGAGGGACACGGTGGTTTGTATCAGGTAATTAAGGCAATTGGTGAGTCACACCCTGGGGCTCAAGTGCCTCGGAATGGAAAGCGAAGTGCTCAGCAGTCTGCCCCTTTTCTGAGCCACTCTCCTGGTAAAGAGCTTAGCAGTCAAATTTGTAACTGAGTCAGTTTCCCATTGAAAGGAAAACAGTCAAAAATTGCATGAAGAAATGTGTATCCACCCTCATGTATTTATATGTGTTAGTGAATTTTATTTTTTAAATTTATTTTTATTTTTATTTTTTTTGTACTGGAATCGAACTGGGACTCTTCAGTTTTGCGTGAGCTTAA